GAGGACATGCGTCTTCTTTTTCAACTGCAGGCATTCATCGCAGACTCACACTTGCTGCATGCACAGCAACGGCAGTTGCCTGAGAGGTCCTGAACAGCGAGTTGAGATCCGCGTTGAATCTGGAGGAGGAGGAGCTGCCCCAGGCCTGATATCTTTTTAGACCCATGCCGTGAAGACTTGGTTATGCAAAGGTGGAATCTCAAACCGATGAATTCGTGGAGCAGCTGAGGCGGGAGAGTTTGAGGTGCTGTGGGGCACCATCAAGGTTTCGCATGCCCAGGCAAGTTGCTCTAGACGGGCACGGGCTCGAGTCTGACCTGCAGTCCCTGGAGCAGGAGGGGGTGTGGGCCTTTGCCGGTCGCTGCCACAGCTTGTTGTCACCTGATGCAGTTTCCTAGTCGCAGGAGCTTGTGAAGATGACTTCCAAGCTCACCAAGGTGTCGGGGCGGTCTTTTGCTTGATGGGTTTCAATCCTGCTTTCAGTTCCTTTCGCCTGCTTGCACATGCTGTTGCGAGTTTGTCAGGCTTTCAAGGTGCATGATCCTGTTCCATGGGGTTGCGAGCACTCTGTTGCGGGTTTGCAGCTCTGCAATTGGCCTGCTTCGCAATGCTCAGGCACAGTTATCGAAAGTGGACGGCCAGGCTCCTTGCATGCCTTTGGTGAGCACTGTCGATCGTGCCTGCGCCTGGTGAGACTCGCATCCTTGCTGCGAGGACGGAGTCAAGCAACATGTGGAACGTCATGAAGCTGCAGCTCTTCGAAGGCATGCTTGTCTGTAGGACCTACAGATCTTTGTGATTTCCGAAACAGCCGAAGGCCCTCTGCTGACCTTGTGCAGCAGGTCCAAGAGGCTGGGGTGCAAGCATACTTTGCTGCAAAAGTGTCAACACACCATCTTGGGCATGTTGAAGTGTCCTACTTCGCCTTCAGCAGATGTGAGTTTCAGTGATTCGTGCATCTGCATTGTCCAATATTATAAGTTCCGGCTCCGATCCACTTTTTATCTACCCATTCAGGAGCTTCAGGAAAGCAGCAGGGGTTTGGGGTTGGCTGAAAAGCCGGTGAGTTCAATTTTGTTTGGCTAACTGTCTCGAGCCTTGAACGCCCATGCAACGCCCTCGAGTTACTCCAGGCACTTCATGTCCTTTCAAGTTTCTGAACCAAAAGCCAGCTGATCGGACTGGGCGGCTGCGATTCCTCTGGTGTCCTGCGGGAAGTTTGAATCATTGGCAGCAGGAGGAGGGAGGATAAGCGAGGCTTGGAAGAAACGGATAAGCAGATAGAAGGCACGTGAACTGAAAGTATCCTCTCAAACGATTCAATCATCAAGCTCAGCATTTCACAGAGTTATGGGAATTCTTCGTGCAGCTCTCCAATGCCACCCAGATGGATTCCCGCTCTAGTGTCTGGTAGGTGCATGTCATTCAGTTTCGTGTTTACAAACCGGGAGTAGGTTTGAAGTTGTGTCTTAAAACTCAACCCGCAGCCGGGTCTGCAAGTCAGCAGAAGTGCTGCAGTGCCTGCGAGTTTAGCCAAGTTGCCACCGTTGCCAGCGAACCCTCCCAGAGTTCAGAGGTGCTCTCCCGAGCCACTGACAGGTGACGAGGCAGACCATCGAACTGAGCTCTTGCCCTGAGCCGAGCAGCCGAGCCTGTCACAGGAGGCGACGGGACTTGCACTTGCACCCGACCCGCACTGCGGGAGGCTACGAAGACCAGATTCGAGAACTGGAGGCCAAGCAGTTTGAGACACCCACGCAACGCACGCAGTTTCTGGACTAGCATGCTCCGATGCCATCGTTTGAGCAGTATGATAGTCTTCCTTCCTGTCAGCGACTGCATGGCGGAAGTTGAAGGTGGAGGGTTGATGCTTTTTCCGCGCCGGCCGTGCATGCTCCAGGGCTCAAGGGAGTCATATGTTCTGCATACAAAGTTGGGCATGCAACCCAACTGGGGGACTCCCCTCATGATGCTGCGCAGCTGCAATCTCGCTCTGATAATCAAAATGCTCCGGTTGCGTGATTGGCTTCTCAGAACCTTTGCACTCAGACGAAGAGTCAGGCGTAACAAAGCCAGAGTTGCACAACGATTTGCATCATCACAGGCAGTGCCACTGACCGAGCCATGCCGTCCAAGCATGGACTCTGCGGAGGCTCGGCTGATCATAGTTTGGAGATCCAAATCGCATCGGGAAGCCCAAAAGGTTGGGCTTTTCCTGGTCGAGTTGGCGGAGGCTCAGCAGATGCGCTTTGCAGGTGACTTTTTCTGGGTTTATTCAATTGGCTCCCTCGGCTCGGCCATGACCTGGGAGAAAAGTGCAAACAGATGTTGAACAAGTAAGGGGACAAAATTGCAAGCAACAGCTCACGATGCGAAGCTCTGAGCATGTAAACGATTCCTGAAGCCGCTTCTGGATTGCAGTGCCTTAGAAGGCACCCCGCTTTCAGGTAGGGAAAGTGGCATAACTGGATAGCCTCTTTCTTCTATACATGTTGGGCCGAAGAAGTCACTTTCAAGCTGCACATGCATGTCCTGAGCTGTGACGTAGCGTCATCTCCCCTTCACACCCTCGGCAAATTAAAGATAAAGCATGTGATGAGGTTGCAGTCTTTGCAGACCCGCTCGGCACCTACACATTTCCTGCTTCAATTCCACGTTCCGCGCCTGCTCTGCCTGGAAAGCTGAGGCCGAAGTCAGTCGACCAGTTGAGTGAGGTGGATTGCGGGCAACAGACCACACGACTGCACCGTGAGACTGCATGCCCTGAAACCACGACCTAAACAGCTTTAAGTGTCTGAGGTCTGTTATCAAGAGTGTGGCTCAATCTAATCGGCGGTGTGTAAACTCGCTTGTTGCAGTTCCCGCATGCCAGTACGATGCCTCCAGTTGCTACGGAGGCGGGGCATCAGATGAGCATGACCATGTTGCTTTGCTACCACGAGTCAGAGCAGGGGGCCGGTGATCATGCATTGAATATTTGTTGATGTCTGTTCAGTTCCGATCGCACAGAACATCCCGTGATAGATGATGATCCGCAGCTCAGTAAAGTACGATTATGAAGGTTGTGGATGGGGCTGACATGTGCCCCAGACTTTCAAGTTTTCAACGTCTTGTCGAAGTAGGGTAAGGAGACAGTTCAGAATGATCGTTGTCGAGTGGAAGCCCCTTTGATTGAAGCGTGGCATTGGCGTACCCGAGCTCCTCCATTGCTCTTCTGCTCTAGACAGATGCCGAAGAATGATGATAGATGTATTGCAGCGATTGGTTACCGCCATTTCTGCGGGCAGTGTTATGTCCTGCCTCCACGGCATATTCTGTGCCTGCAATCGTCAAGAACGTTACCACTGGCTACAGATCTCGGAGTTCGTCACAAAGAGGCATCTACATCAAGAAATCTGGCTTTAGTTCTCTGTTCCTTCGCGAAGCCGGACTTGCTCTCCATCGGAGTCCATATCGCTCATAAACAACCGGGGGCTGCCGCACTCTGCTGTGGCATTCTCTTGTTTTGCCTGTGCCAGAGCTTTCGTTTCGTGCGTGGGTCCGGCTATCCCCCTACTTATCTAATGTATTGCCGGTGGGGGGCACGGGGGGGGGTCCAATACATTGTTCTGTGGGGTCCCTAGGGATCAACGAGAGGGATAATGTATTGGGGGGTGGTCTGCTATATCGCTTCTTTATTGAGCTGTCATCGGTCAGTCGGTGTTTCGATATAAATCAGAAGCTAAGTGCAGGTCTTGGACAAAGCGGGAGAGAGAGAGCCTGAGACAGAAGGAGCTTTTGCATGTCAAGTTCGGAAGCGATTGCATGTTCTATCATGTTCTCCTGCTGTGTCGGTGCAGGCATTTTGCCTTGTAGACTGCATGCCACAGATATCCACAGATGCTTGCCAATCTCCAGGACTCGGTTCTTCACTCGCAGGGCTCTCGTCAAGCACTTTTGTGTGTGGGTTGCGTCGTTGTGCGCGAACACACAGTGCTTGCCTTGATAGGCCATGGTAGCGAAGCGGTAGCACGGGAGGTCCAAAGACCTCGCATGTGGCACACATTCCCTGAAGAAGGCCACGTTCTGATACCGCTCCTTGGACATCAAGCCTAGGAAAAAGGTTGTTGCAAAGACCGTGCGAAGCATGGTTGTCGTAGGCCACACAGCAGGGCGGGGCCGGTGCTGCACTGCACACGGCTTTCAGCACGGCTCCAACTTGCTCAAAGACAGAGTCGAGTGTGACCTCGCTCAGACGCTTTGGTATCATAGCCATGTCGAACGGGAGCTTTCGTGTGCTGGCTTTCTTAAGGAGGAAGGCGACACACTGTTGGGACAGGTCCTCCTTTCTCAGGGGATGGCTTACGTCGCCCAACAAAAGCATACAAAGCCCTGGTTTCAGAAGCAGCACTACTTTGTACGTCACCCAACAAAAGTATACAAATCCGAAGCAGCATTTCTGTGTGTGTGTACGTTTCCCCGCCTGCAGAGTTGTCCAGCGCTGTCTCCATATCCAAGCCAAGCCACCATGTCTTGGAACTCGGTCGACCACAGAGCGGCAAGGCAGTCCTGGCAGATTTCACGAGGCATTTCAGGAAGGAGTTCGAAATGATTTGAGGGGGATACAAGGTACGGCTCCTTGGGCACCGCAGCCCTCTGCTCGCTCGTTGTCAGGAGACGGAAAGCATCGAGGCCACCAGCAGACGAAATCGCACCGATCTCAGACACAGAGACGATCCAATACTGGTCTTGTGTCTCCCAAGGAAGCCTCACAACTCACAACAGCTCCAACAGAGTCAAAATCATGTAAGATCTACGCACAAACAGACCTGCCGCACAAACCAACCGAGCAGCAGCCATTTGGGTTGGAAGTTCATGCTTGAGCACTCGAACCACTTAAAAGGTGGTTTGAGCGGGTGTACGTGTGCATTTCTTGCTCCTTCTGAGCACTCGAACCACCTGAAATGTGGTTGGTAGGTGTGGCCGCAGTTGATGTTGACTCGAGGATTGCCGACTTCTGCATGGCGGGGGACGGACAACCAGTCCGACATGCAGTCGAGCTGGTTGTTGAACCCACAGTGTGTGGACGTGCAGCAGTGGGACAGCTTGGGCTTGGTGGCCTGGATGTTCGTGATCGGGCTTTGGTGTGGGACTTGGCTCAGCTCCCATATCTTCACGGATGCCTCGGACCTCCTGCAGTGTGCGTTGTGCGGCTACTACCTCCTTCTCTTCGACCTCATGGAGACAGGGGGCTCGAGCACTCGGTACTTTCATCCGATAACGCAGGGGAACCTGCTTGCTATATGCGGGCACTTGGTGGAGCGAATGGCCAACTGGCCTGCTGGCTGCCCTTTTCGACCGTCCGCGTGCATGGAAGACTCCAACGGTTCCATTTCGGAGAAGTGAAAAGTGGCATTGTCCATCGCCTGCCGACCATCCGAGCTGCCCTGCACACCACCCAGCTGCTTCACGTGCGTCGCAAGAAGGCCATGGCTAGCTTTGCAGTCGACAAGAAAAAGCTGCTTCCCTGGAAAGCACTGGCGGATGCTGAAGCCAGCCAGGCCGGGAAACGAGCTTTGGAGACCGTGTGCACGTACAAAGCCTTGACGAGCGTTGGCAAAAGTGCTGCTGACATGCGGGCTGCCTTGCAAAACTGGTGGAACGTCATTGGCAAGCAGATGGTTGCAGATCGGCTGCGCTCCTGTCACAGCCAAGAGGTGAGTTTTCGTAAGCGCTTCTTTTTTCTCATACAATAACTATGTGTATTTATGAGTAATTATGCATATCCATATACTGAGTCGTGTCTCGAATGCTTTGGTGCAGGAGCTGCAGGATGAGGAGGAGGCCCACTCGGACGTCGAAGACTGTGCCGTGGACCCTGCGAACCCCGAGCTCGACCAGAACCTAGAAGTTGCCCAGACCCTGGCATGCTTGCAGAAAGAGTCCGAAGCCCTTGCAGAGATGCACCGCCTGGAAGATGCCATGGCCAAGGCATCACAGATGTACAGGATCCCGCTTCGACCTCTGGTGACCTTGTTGCAGAGGATCCCGCTTCGACATCTGGTGACCTGGTTGCAAAGAATCCCGCTTCGACGTCTGGTGACCTTGCTGCAAAGGCTGCGAAGGATCCGGTTCCGCCGCCTGCAAATGATCCTGTGACAGTGACGGACGAGCAGCCCGCGATGACACTGGAGGCCATTCTGCGGAAGCATGGCTTGGACAAGTACGAGCCGATCGATGGTGACTCCGAGCATGCGATGCTGATCCGACTGCAGAAGCTGGCTCCGGACCAGCTCCGGTTCATCGCACAGATGAGGTTGGGCGAAGCCTTCTTGCGGCCTGGCCAGGTGCAACAACCAGAGCGACCCTTGTCACAGTGGAATCAATTGCAGAAGGACCTCTCCGAAACCCAACGTGGCTTTGGATTGCAAGGTGCGAAGCAGGGCCGAGCCGCCAGCTGGTGCTTTTCGAGGTTGGTGGCCGACAAAGCCCAGGAGGTTGCAGTGACAGTGGCAGGGTGCAAGAAGGACGAGGCGATCCTGCGAGCTCTGACCTGCTTTCGACCCTCCAATGTTTTGGATGCCAGTATGTCCCGAGACTACCATCTGGTCGTCATCCGCCTGCACCCTCTGGGCAAGAACCAGATGGCCCTCGTCAGCAGGGTCTTCCGAAGCAGCCATGGGAAGAAGCGAAGCGGCAGCAAGCCTCACGAGGAGGCACTCCCTGCGCAGGAGTGCACTGGTTTGCAGCTGGTGTTGCTGCAGCCTGTGAAAGATGAGTCGAGCATCTTTCGAGCTACCTGCTGCAGTCCCTGCCTTTGCATGGGTCCGCACGAGGACCGCGAGGACCTTCCCCGCTTGCTGATGGAGGTGGCACCGGGATGGTTCAAGGTTCGATGCACCTCGACGACCTTGCTACTGGAGGTGGACAGCTCAGCAGCCATGGGCATCAGAGCAGTGAAGGAGCTGGAGGAGCCGACCTTCGTCGGAGGCCGGCTTCGCGAACATCCGCGCGTACATGGAGATCATGCGGAAGATGTTTGCAAGCACTGCGGGCAAGCCGCTATGCACGCAGGACGGCTGTGTGCGATTGTGGTCTGGCAGTTTCAGGCAACTTTGCCACATTTCAGTGGATGGTTTTTCCTTTTCTTTTATTGCTGACCTCAACTCCAGACCTAAACCATCCTAAAGCCTCAACCCTCAAACCCTAGCGGAAACATGCCTAGGCCGTCGTGGGATTCCCTATTGCAGCGAGCACCTGGGTATTTTGCAACGGTCCTGAAGCACGGCGAGATGGCTGCCAAGACCTTGTCTAGCAAGGAGTTTTCGCGAAAGGTCTGCATGCGGTTCCGCTCGATCGCCCCCACATGTGTGTGTGGAACGGAGCCGTTCATGAACTTCCTGGCACATGTGGACAAAGTCGTGCCTGAGCTGCCGGTGGAGTGACTCGAAAGTCAGTCGTGCCTGAGAGCTGCCAGTGGAGTGACTCGAGAGTCGTGCCTGAGCTGCCGGTGGAGTGACTTGAAACGCGTGCCGCGAGCTGCCAGTGGAGTGACTCGAAGGTCGTGCCACGAGCTGCTGGTGCAGTGACTCGCAGCTTTCGTTCGAGCCCTGAAAGAAAAGAAGCGTGATTCGACAAGCCGTGCAAGGGGTGAGGGAAAGAGAGAGAGAGAGAGAGAGGCCAATTTGAAATGCAATAGAAAACAAACTTAAAAGTAAGCGCAAGTCTTGTCCAGCATATTTTTAAACATCATAACGACATATATAAATATGCAATTACGTCGATGGCATGGAAGCCTTCAGTCGCAACCCCCGGACACCCCCCAACAGACCCCTCCAATACATTCCAGACCCTGCCGAAATGTATTGCCGGGGGGGCCGCCCCCCTTAGGGGCTGCTAGGAGGGATGTCCGGCTTTTGCCCACTTGCCCTTAAAGATCCGGTTTTCCCACCTCACTTGTTCATCGCACACGCAAGTATGGAGCCCCATGGTTGAGCAGCGAAGGTGCGTATTCTTGTGAGTTCGTTCCTCTCATAGAGTCGCAGATATTTCTCCAGTATTCCAAGGTGGACCATTCGTCATTATTCTTGAAGGATTGGGCACCTCCAGTTGCACCACCGCAGTGTGTGTTTTTTTTGAAGGTGCTTTTACTTTAGATCTTTGTTTTTGATTGAAGGTTGTGTTGTCTTGGCGTTCTTGTTTCAGGTCCTGGTCCCGGGCCTGAGCCCGGAGCCAGGTGTGCCGAGTGCTTGGGCATTCCCATGGTGCCATCGCGGGCTTGCACCGGCCCGAGGTTGGGCCGACTCTACAAAGGTGACATCGTGGCTGCCCAGGCAATTGCAGCTTCAACGATGTGGTGTGTGAAGTTTATATCGCAGGAGTCAACGGTGCATTCCTGCTGTACATGCCTTGACTCGTGGCATAAGCAGACTGGTGCATCATCTGTGCATGTTTGTAACGAGCAGAGAGAATCGGCCTAGGGGCCTCTGTAGATGCTCCCACTGAAAGCATTGACAGGCATGTGATGCAGCTTCACCATCCGAGGCATGACATTGGCGAGATTGTGCTAAGCTTTTCTTTGTTTGGAATTCTAATTGAATCTAGATGCTTCTGCCAGAGTTCCGCTCGACTGCACTCTCGTCTGCATGTATGGAATCTGACATTGTTTCTGCATGGCCGCTGTGTTGTTCAAGGAGTGGCTGCGTCTTCTGTTTGACAATCCCGTGAGACGCAGCTCCCCGGCAAGCAGCTTTCTGTTTTCTTCATCGCAAACTGTTGGCAAGGCAGACCGCCCTAGCAAATGCTTTCGCTTTTGTGGTGCCAGGCAAGGTGCAGTAGTGATTGGCTAGTAGCATTGCTGTCTCTAACTGGCCGGGCCACAGATGCTGACTTTTCTGGTCAACGACACACTGAGTTTCTGGAAGCTATCTTCTAATCAGAGGAACGTAGGGACCTAGCGCAGAAAGAAGTTGAGTTTGACCTTAAGTCTCCAAGTGGATTCCATCAAGTCGCGATGCCGTGCCACTTCTTCATTCAAGGGCTCGCTTCGTCATCACTACATGCATTGGCATCATTGCACCCCCGACGATTCGCTGATGACGAATGGCTGAACGTGCATGCAACGTTGATGTTTCGCGTACTGGTGTGTTAAGCTTGGTGTGGATTTGGATTGGGGAATAGTATTGCGTTGTGCGTCGGATTTGCCCTCCGGTTTAGACTCGTAAAATCGAGCCATATCTGTACCGCTTGCAGTCAACATGACACATGTTTGCAGTTGGCTTTTCGGCAACTATCATGTGTTGGGGCTGGGACAGGAGTGTGGAACTTCTGCTGCACAACGAGACGTTGCAATAAATGAGTTCGATGCCCCGCAACACTAAACTTTTGAGGTTCGTCATTCCAAGCTGTTAGTACCTCTTTCGGGGATATTACACGGGTGGAAAGGCACGGCCTTCCAGGTTTTTCCGACTGATCTGGTTCGGCTTGGCTCGGCACCCCGATACTTGCACACACAGGGTCACAGCGTAGTCACAAGGAAACTGCAATTCGCAATTGTTGTGGTGCATTGTCAGACGTAGGCAGTCCACGGTTGGGTGCCCGAACTCTTTGCTGAAAGGAAGCTAAGCCTAAGTGTCAGCTAGCAGGATCAAGAAGTACCCGGTCGGCATGCAGTGCTGGACAAGCCTTCACCATTTCGTTTCAATGCGGTGCAGCATCCAATGTTAAAGGGAAAGCCCCAGCCTTGACTGCTTTCGAGATGTCAAGGTCTGGTGGTTTTGGAAAGCACGTGGCACTCGGAGGAGAGTTCATCTTCCGTTTCACATATGTGCGTTTCTCGACCATTCTCGACACTCTGGCCACTGTCCGTGTAGGATTCAGACGAGCACCTGGGAGACTGGGCTGCAAGTATGTTTCGCCCGAAAGCCTCCACATGGGTGCAGTAGTTCCAAAGTGCTTCGTTGAAGTTCTCGCACGTGGTCTTCCTTGCCATCATGGTAGCCCGTCAGTGGCAAAGCAGTTCTGAAGTATAGTTTTGGAGGTTTGAGGGCTGTTCCGTAGTCTTGGAGTTGATGCATCACTGGAGCCCTAAGTCGTTGACGCAAATGGTGGAATCTACCTTGCGCTCCGGGCAGACGCACTCGGATGAACAAAGATGCGTTCGTCGCACAGGCGTAGAGATTTCACCCTGCCAGGATCTACAGACCAAGAGTCGCCCGAGCCCCGGCTCCGCAGTTGCAGGTCCTGTTCTCGTTTCGGGAGTCTGAATGTCAGCAGGTTGTTGCCTGAAAGCTTTCCCCGGCTTCAAACTTCCACAAAAGAGCCCGGCGCAGGGTGCAGATAGAAAATTGAGAATTGCCAAGGTGCCCGATGCTGCCAGCACTTGTGCTTGTGCTGTTTGTGTCTGGGATCAGTTAGATGTAGCCGGGGCCGCTGCGAGATTCACGACAGGCCCAGCAGTTTGAGAGTTTCTTCTGGATAGGTTGCGGCATTTGCCTCACTCGATGTCGGGCATCCGTGATTGTTGTGGCTGAGCCCTGGATGCCCCAGTCGTGCGCAGGTATTTCTGTTTGCGTCGTGTCGTTGGATTTGGTTTAGTCTACATTGATTCGTTGGCTTGTTGTGTTGCTGCTGTTGTTGGAGTTGTGGAATCTGAGGTGCTGGCCAGATTACAAACTCCAGTGGGGTCAACAAATGGGCTTACGGTTCGTGATTCTTGGCGTGGTCCCTGTTTCGTGTCGCACGATTTGGTCATTCTGTTGCAGTTAGCAGTTAGCACGCACGCACAGAAAGGTCAGACAACAGCCGCAGCCCCGGATGTGAAGTCCAACGATTTGTACCGTGCAGCAAGGATGCCGGATTGTTTACAACGGACACAACGGATGGTTTCTGGCTCTTAGTATCTTTTGCTCTACACGCAGGTCACGAGGCTGGGACACGTCTTGCCGCCAGAGTGGAAGGAGCAAGCCTTTTGGCAAGCAGAGTTCTTTTGATGCACGCCGCAGCGCATGCCGAAGAGATCTCAATAGCACAGGTTGCCTTGCTGGTGGTTACGTGCTGCGGCGGCATGTTCTAGTAGGCAGCCTGCTGAGCCTCGTCTGCAGTGGAGCAGGCTTTCGCTGCTTGCGGCAGCCTCTTCCTCGCAGTTGCAGTTGCATACAGCAGCAAGAGTTGCAGTGGCAGACCACCCATGGGCCTGGGAGAAAGCGGTCGCGCGGAAAGGACTTGGGCCGGCCCGTTGAAACCACTCGCCGGAGCAAAAGTCTGCACCGGCGACAAGGACCTTCCAGAGGCGTGCGGTCGTTGCGGGTCTGCGAGTTGAACATTTCTCGGAATCTTTCCGGTTCAGTTCAGGAGGCTGGCCTCTGGCCAGGGGATGTGCTTGAACGATTTCGAGCCACCGGAGTCCGTCCGCAGTGGTGCGACACACCAGGCCACCAGGCGATCACAAGGGTGTTTTCGAGCGAAAACTTTCGCCCTGCGCCGAAGGTGAAGATGCCCTAGCACTGCACGGCGAGATGACGCGGCACCAGGCTCAAGCTGTCCAAAGCTTGAGTCAGCTCCCCATCTCGCGATGTCTCGCCAGGTGGAGGAAGCACTGCGATCAACTGCCATGTTCCTTTCTAGAGCCGAGGCAACGGCACAGAAGAGTTCTCGTTGCGTCAACATGCTACTGAGAGGCAGTGCTCGTCGTTGTGGGCGCAATGTCTGCGGACTCTGCAGTCTCCCACGTCCCAGGCTAGCTTGGAACACGTTGCGGGTTCTGCCGCATGCTCAACTATGGAAAGCCAGGCGGACGCGATAGCTGGCTAGGTTTGCCGGTTGCCCAGGTATTCTGATTTTGCCAGCTTGCATAACTGCGGACAAACACACGTCCTGCAAAGCAAGACCCTTGAAGTACCAGGTCCGGCCGCACCTTCGAGCAGATGTGCACGAGACAAGCGTTCGCGGAGTCTCCCGAGCCGGGGACTTGAGGCCCTTCTGTAGATGCAATTTGATGCCCAACGCGTCCGTCGCACAGGTCTGCCTGGGACTTTTGGCTACGGGTATGTCGCTCGTGCCGACAAGCCGCTCCCCAGACCGGCTACGACATCCTGGCGTCCCTTTGCGACGAGTCGCGAGGACTGGCAAAGAACGCCCACATCCTCGAAGCATTCATGAT